ATTGTTGCAGGTTTTCTTGCCACTGCTGTAATCTTTCTTCTTGTTTCTTTTCTTTTTCCTCTAACAACTGCTGTAATTTTTCTTCTTGTTTCTTTTCTTTTTCCTCCAACAACTGCTGTAATCTCTCTTCTTGTTTAATTTCTCGTTCTTCTTGTTTCTTTTCTTTTTCCTCTAACAACTGCTGTAATCTCTCTTCTTGTTTAATTGCTCGTTCTTCTTGTTTCTTTTCTTGTTTAAATTCTCGTTCTTCTTGTTTCTTTTGCTGTTCGAGCTGCCACTGTTGCAGGTTTTCTTGCAGCTGCTGTTGTCTCTCTTCTTGTTTCTTTTGCTGCTCTTGTATTGCTGCCATTAAGTCTGCTAAACTGTAGTTTGATTTCCCGCCTCTCGTTTCCATTTTTCTTTTTTTTTTCTATCCCACTCTCTGACACCAATTTGTTACGTCTCCGTTTGTTAATTAACTTCCCGTAACTTCGTTCCGACGAAACTTTAGCGACACAAGTTCTTTACTTAATAAAACTGGTTTATTCTTTCCGAATACAACTTTACCGATACACTCAACTTCAACAATCGCGCTAAACAAACGCTATAACAACGAACGTCCTCAATAATACTTCTGACTGCAGATCAATTACTCACTCTCTCCACACACATTACATTCCCCTCTTTTATATACCAGCCTACCCTATATCTAGTAATTACTAGAGCATTCGCCAAAGTACAGGATAGTTCTATAAACGTGGCGTCACAGTGGTCATGTGACTCGCTGACGCAACAATATGTTTGTTATTAAACACAAAGCTACATAATGGAATGGGCTATATATTGTTTGTCCACAGCGGATATCAGAATTAAAACCCGATTTTTAGTGTTATAATCCATTAGATTTACCGGTGAGTCACTGATGGTGGGCGATTAATAACTTGTTTATTTTAGCATACAGCCACAAAATATGCTACTTGCGCTCTGATTCACCTTGGAGAATTTATTTCCGCATTTTAGAGTTTTAAGTCGGTAAAATTGACAGCTGACCAATGGGGAGGGGGCAGGAATCCTAAAAGTAAACAGTTCGCTGTTAAAAAAATAATTGATAAAATTACAACCGTATGAATTATCGCATATCATTTAAGTCTTTTTGGTTTCACAAGTTTTTGTTTTTAATTCTAGAAGCTTCCAATAAGTGCGTTTATTAAGGGCTAACTTAAAAGAACACTTGTAGTATGATCGGATCATTAACGGTGTACTGACGTTTCTCTATCTCTCTCCAAAAGGCATAAGGTTTACTTAACACTAAGCATAGTCAAAGACGATTTGTGTTTAGTATATTTATTTTGAAGTTTTCAGCCATATGTTTTATGCAGTTATTGATCACATAAATACAATTGCCCCCAGTGGCACAGCGGTATATCTGCGGACTTACAACACTAGAAACCGAGTTTCGATACCCGTGTTGGGCAGAACACAGATAGCCCATTGTGTAGCTTTGTGCTTAACTTCAAACAAACAATAAATACAATTTTACAATATTTTCAAACGTATGTCGACAGTTATTTTAATTCACAATAAAATACTATATGGGCGAGAGGGCGCCGCCATGAACATTTGTTTTCCACACTATGAACCAAAATTGGGTAGACGAACTTCTTTTTTTTTTTATTATTATTCTGAGTAGTGATTAGGTGAAAGCAAGATAAAAATCGAAGTATTATGCCACTTTGTCTAGGTCCTAAATTTTGTCTTAATTGATATTAGTTTAGGGACAGGTTATTTTTCATATCAAGTGTAAGTGTTCAACTTTAAACTTAAACTTTCAGTCTGCTGCTTAGGGCTTTGCTATTTACTTTTAGTCAAAGTCATGCTGTTGCTCAAGTGGTAACTTAGTCAAATTCGTAGAGTCGTACTACTTGTGGTTAACGCTGTTTTTATTCGGTGTTACTGTTACTTAGTCTTGTGTTAGTGTTATGGCATACGTTGGGTACTTAGTCGGTTAGTGTATAAATATATAATATGTAATTTATACTTATACTGTTATAGCTGTCCTTAATATAAGATCATAAGAACTGTTACTTTTTTTTATCTTGCATACTAATAAGAATATTCTATCTAATTTGATGAGGAACCCAGTTTTTAGAAAATATAGCTTGGAGTTGGAGATGGCTTGAATGGGTAGTGAGAGAAACTTTTATTACATGTATACAACGTTTCAACAAGCTTTTGTAATAAATGTTATTATAAAATTTCTTTCACTATCCATTCAAACCATCTCCAAACTTTAATTTTGTCTCCAGTTTGGTTTTGAGGTCATGTTTGTTGATTATATGAACATGTTTTTTTCAAATCTCTATATGGGGAAAATCACAAAGGTCTGAGCATGCAATGAAGTACATATTATTATTATTATTACTGTTATGACTAAATTACATTAATAGCTTAAGTTATAAGTGCAAGTTCATTGTTACATTGTAATGTAAGCATAGCAACTAGTGTGTGTAATCATGTTAATTGCTATATTCCTGTAGTATGCCTATATAAAAGTACTTTATAGAATAATCTCAGATGCTTGAGGTTAAAATATTTAGACTGCTATACTTTTCATAGTTAACATTTGTTTTTCTGCTTTGGACCAGACAAAGCCTAGTGGGTAAGTATGTAGTGATTAGTATGTTGGGTTGGAGATAGAATGTTCTGTAGTTGAAGATGTAATGTTGCTGAGTGTACTGCAATTTCAACTCTGGGCTGTTATAAAAGTGACAGCCTTTAATTCAATTCCAAGAGCTAGACAAATCTTTCTGTAGTGAGGGCTACTACTGGCTGGCAGCCTTCCCTTTCTGGTCATTAGCAGAAGGTAGCATATACCCTTTACATGTAGATTTTGGCCTTTTTATCAGAAAAAAAACATTTTTATGCTACGCTTTTTGCATGAATATATATCAAAATAGATACAAAGACATATTCTGCCACATGTTTTATAACATTACCACTGTGGCTAATTGGCATATTATAAAATAAAGAAATACAAAAGAAATGTCTTATGTTCCTAATAACTTCAATAAACATGAATGAATGCTTCTGAGAATGGGACCAGACTTTCATGGGATGTGAAAAATTAGTCTGAACTAAGGAAAACTGAAAATTAATTGAAGGTCAAATTATAGCACTAATAAGTATGCCATAAGTAGGACATATGCTGCAGTGACTTGTTTGTTACTGGTCATTTAATAAAAACCAAACCTCTTATCAACTATAAACACTATAGATACATTAATAATGCCTATTTATGCCAATTATGAAGTTTATAGCATCAACAGATCTGATGTTATGAGTTCAAAATCACTATGAAAATGTCAGTTTCAGATTTTGAGAAAAATGTGTTTGAAAATTTGGAACAAAATTGTCACTTTAAGGGTCTTTGTCTAGTTGAAAAAGATATACCACATTCTGAAAATTGTGAAACACTCATAATATGTTTCTGAGTATTAATAAGCTCCTCTTTGTCTTTCTTGGACTCCTCAAATCCCTTTTTGACATTTCTTCTTATTTGTTGCTGTTTTATTTCTTTCTCAGAAACATTGTTTTGTGCTTCAGATAACCTCTTCTTGTCTGTAAAGAATTTGTTGGTAAAACTTCTGTCACTGATGTTAAGCAGCTCAAATATCTCCTTTTTTGACTGTATTCCATCATTGAAAGTACTGACAGCATTGGCAGCGGCCCATCTTGTACATTTTGCACCGACAAAGGTATTCTTGGGGCAACAATTCTATATTACATGATTTAGCATTCTGAGTGATGCAATCTTAGCATTTTATTAGGAGTGCACCACTAGATAACCTTTTATAGTTGAGATTGATGGCTTTCATTACACACTCTAGCATGGAATGTTTGTGTGAATATTCTGAGCTGGGGGCCTTAGATTTTTGGAATTTACACCAAGAATCTTCATCAGTAGTGATGAGGTTTGATGTCTGTTGATATTTTATGGTACCAAGTTGCCCATATTGCATTCCACATTCCATCCAGATCACCTTTGTTTCAGTGTATAACTCTCCCATACCAGTTCTGGAGACTATCAATAACCTTATCATTGAGTCTGCCAGCACCCCCTATTCCCTTGCCATAGCTGAACTTTTTACCTTTTATATCTTTTTTTCAGATTTTGCAAAACTGTTCCTAGCCTCTTCTGAACATGTCCTACACACTCATGTTTTTCACTACAATTCTGTCACTGTATGATCTTGACTCCTTCACTGCATGGAAGGATTTACTGTTGCCATCACCAATGTACATTGTGTATCTGAGGCTTCTTTCCTTCTCACATCTTTGAAATATCCTCACCATACCTACTGGTTTCATTGCAAGCATGGAACTGTCATAGTTTACTAAGCAAACTTTACAATGTTCCTTTTTCTCCTCTGCTGTACTGTTTTTGTTTGAAGAGCAGGAATGACAGTATCTGTTCAGCAGTTCATAGTCAATGACTATTGCAGATTCACTTGAAAGAACAACACCATGTAAGGAAGAGTAACCCCATTTCTTCCAGGTACCATCACACATCACAGGTGTTTCAGTGACTTTATCATCTTTTTGCAAATCTTCAGCAGCTTTTTTTATGCTTTAACTGGCAACTGTTTCAGTGGCATTGAAAAATGATATGAAATGCTTATCCCTATACTTCTGCGTACTTGATCAGTTCATGTTCGTAACACCAGAAAGCAATTCTCTGGCAGTTATACCTTTCCCAAAGCTTGACATAGCATACACAAATTGCTTGTTAGTAGCAACAGTTCTTTCCCCTTTTTATTTACTTGTATGCCAATCTTTCTCACTATGACAGTTCATTCCTTTGCACAAAAGTTTTAGAGTAGCAGCAAGTCCACTTCTATTGGTACTTTCCTAGCTCAACTTTTCCTCGCACGAACAGTGACAAAACTTGCTCATTACTTCTGCCAGAATGTCCATATCAACAAACATATTACCGCTTTGGATACATTCTTGTGTAATTAATTCTTTTGTGGTGTCCCTTTAGAAGCATACAAATGTCCAGATTTTCTCTTCGAAGCACTTTGTACCAGGAAATCTTGCTCAGAAGTTGAAGTTGCAAAGCTGGTACCTGCACCATGAGTATCAACAACTTGTGGCAACTCAAGTGTTTCACTTGTACTGTTATTAAGCTTACTAGTCTTCTCGTCATTCAGTTGTTTGTTTCTGGTGAATCTGTTACCATGAAACTTCCTCCTCTTTGATTTGTGAGGACCATGCTTTCTGTCCATCCTCAAATATTCAGGATTTACCATAGGAATAAATACTTGTTGGTCTGTTAGACTACAGGAACTAGTAAAAGAACTTCTTTTGTTCAACACAAAGTTTGACCTTAGTGATTGACTCATCAATGAAAGGTTATTGGCACAGTCCGTTACTTTAAAGGGGGGTAGCAAAAAAGCAGCATTCTAATAAGCAGGGGGAATTAGACAAATTTGCTAAAAGTGCTTCCAAACAAGGAGAAAAACAACAATTTTGGATCACATTACTATGGAAATGGCATGTCAATAGGGGCATTTAAATGGAAAACCTTTTATTTTTCATACTTTTTAAGGGTTTTTAATTTAGCTAAGACAATTTTTGCACTGGACATTGAAAGTAAAGTGGTTAAGGATTCAAAATATGCAAAACATTAATTGTGATATTTTTGATATTTAAAAAAAATATGCTACCTTAAAATTAGGAATATGGAATCCTAGGGATATATAATCTGTTCATTTACTGATTCAGTCCCCATGTGCATGAGGTGCCATTGAAGTTGAAAATTTCAATTCTAGTTTTTCTGATAGAAATAATTTGTACTATGCTTACTTTTTCCCAACTATAGTTGATTAGTAGAAAGTGTCAAAATATGTAGATTTGTAGTATTTCACTCAATGTACATTGTTATCTAACCACACAGAAACAAATATTTGACCACTAATATATACTCTTTTTCAAAGTTCTTTAAAAACTAAAAACCTTTTATGACAATAATTTCATTTTGAATTTACTCACTGATTATAGGTAAATCTGTCTATTTGTATGGTTTGATATGCACATGTATAAGTAACCACTATCAGTTCTAAAATTTAAAAACATTGTTGAATGTTGATATAAATACTAAAATCTTCCTCACCATTAAAACTTATGTACTTGAGAATGATTGCATCAGTGATTGAAATGTTGTACCTGTTTTTAAAATATTCTTACTATAACTTGTAATAATAGTTTTACAACACTGTTGATATTGTGAGTACTTGTCACACCTTCAAACAGGCATCCATGTTTTTGCACTTGTTAACAGAGTTCTTAGAACTCAACAAAATATTGAATTTATGAACAAAATTTTGGAAAATTTTACAGCAGGAATACTTGAAACTCAAATAAAAATAAAAAAATGTTCAAGTGTGTTTAATGTACATGTATTTTCTTTAAAATGAAAAAATAACATTTTTATTAGCATAAAACAACATACTCTGAAAAATTGGCTTTTTAAAAATCATTCTTAGTAAGCCTTACACCTATACATATAAAATGTATGTATATATTATATATGTTATTTTTATTATTATATAAACAAGTATAATTGTTTTTTGCTTGTTTCTTTTTTATTTATATTCATATACATTGGACAGTCATCCATTTTCACAAATAATATTATTCTGTTAGTAAAATGTGTTGAAATTTAAAGAAATACATAGAGTTGTGGTATTTCAAGCCATGGTCTTAAACTAAGGACATTTGAATTCATGTTGGGAAACTTGTTTACAAAACTTCCTTGTAAACACAATTTTCAATATTTCCATATTCAGAGATATAAATTTTTAACTCTGCAAATAACTATGACTTGGATAGAGCTTTCTAAAGCTGACCATGAGAAACAAATTCTGGCCTTGGCTTTGGCCTTCATATATGATGTTCATGGACATATTCAGAGTAAATGAAGGGATCATTTGGATATGATTTTTGTATTATAAAATCTTGGTATTTAGAATATATTTTGTTTTACAAACAAGTACTTGTTTGGAACTATACCCCATGTTTAAATGTTTTAATGCTGTGTTTTTAGGTAACCATCCTGATACACCATGATTCTATCCTGTCTAAAAGTTCAAGTGGGATTATACACTCGTTTCCTACAACCATTAAAGCAGGATATTGTATTATATCAGTGGTGTTGTGCCATGACTCTTTGCACAAAAGGAAGTGAACTTCAACATGCTGGGCATTATCTTTGTGAATTGAACCATCTGCCAAGATTTCATGCTTTTGAACGTATGTTAGGACACTCTTGTAAGTGGAATGTAAGTTAATTTCTGCAGTTTTTAGCATCTGCTTAGCATTCATAAGACTTTAAAAAGTTTAATTAAAAATTTGAAATAACTTTGTTTGTTGAAAAATTCTCAATAACATTTAGCAATTTGATTTAACCAGCATTAATTTATTAACATATTAAGGTAATTAAAAAACTGCACTAGACATAATGAGTGGTGATATTTATATGTATATAAATAAAGTAAATATAAATAAAGTAGGGAAAAAGTTTCCATGATGGTCACATACAACACTCTTGGTTTTTGGGCATTAGAATTTTAAGTCATCTTGATTAATGATTATATAAAGCAGGTACAAGTGATTGATTTCAGTTTAAATTATTTGAATTTTGAATGAGGCTTAATAGGAACTGGTACTGTCTTTCTACATGTATACCTTAATTTACAGTACATTTTTATATCCATCTTCTTTTAGTAATAAATGAATATTGTTTTTGACTTTTTCATCTTTAGTTAATATATGTATGAGGAATAGATGTAGGTGACTTAATACAGAGAAAAGAAATGGATTGAGAAATAAACATAATAGGATTAGGTAGTTTAAAGTGACAGTTAGGATGGAAGACTTAGAGCTATAGAATCGGTTAAAAAAAAGAACACATCAAAATAGCTTAAGAAAAAAAAAAAATATGCACAACAAGGGACCATTTGCTCCTTAAACATCCTTCCGTGAGAAAGTGAAGATTTTATTAACAAAGAAACCATTTATTTCACCCTTAAATTCTTGTAAAGTGCTGGCCTCTACTAGTGCTAACAGCAATTCATTTTATGAACCAATCACACAGTTAGAAAAATAACCATCTTTAGTGGAGCATGCGACACCCTTCCACCAAAGGAGTGTGACACAGCTGACTCCTTTTATGCAGTTGAACCCAATTTCCACTTTGAGATTAAGTATGAAAAACAACACCAAATGTGGGGAGGATGGGTTGGAAGTGTGAGAGGAAGAATCAATTGGAAATATATTTTCTGTGCAGGAAAATATTAACTTCCGATACTATTACTTACCTCCTCTCACAGAATCCCACATTGAGCAGGTGGAGGGACCAGTGTAAAATTACATAGATGAGCACCTTTCAAAAGTGTCTGAAAAAACACCCTTGAAGTGTGCCACCCCTATATAGAGTAAACACACCCATGGGAGATCTCATCACATCTGAATCAGTACATTACACTTTTTTCCTTAGTGGAGCTAACTGGTGTTGTGTCGCAATCAAAGTACTACATTGGAGAGTTCGAAGAAATGCATCACTGGAGAAAGTACAATGGGTGACCACAAAACCCTATTTTGAAATGCAGACAGTTCTTGATTCTGGCAATCTGAGGAATGTTAGAGATGGGCAGCAATCTCTTTCTGATTTACTCATGTTAGTCCATGAGTGTACAGTCTGGTATGAACATATTTATGATGCAAGATACTGCAAGAAAGAAGCTGTAAGCAGTCTTGTGGAACACCCCATCTCAACAGTGAGCATAATAGACCTTATAGATCTCACAGTGCAGATTTTGGATATCAGTATTCCTGGACAGGTGCCACTCATCACAAAGCAGGATCTATAACATGTTAAATAGACCCCTGAAAAAATTAAACAAAAATAACTTACCTACTCACAGTTCTACTGACGTATGGAGAACAGCTATAGGGGGAAGATGATATCCAGCTGAGCAGGAAACCACCAGATGTTGCAAGTAGCACGACACCAAGGTGTGGAGAGTGGTCCACACGCTGGCCTGAATAATCTCCTCCAAAGAATGACAGAAATGAGCAGCCAAGGACATTGCGAGGTGAGAGATCAGATGAAACAATATACAGAACAATTAGCAAGGTTCAGTAAAAGAGAAGAATACGCAATATGATTAACTTGACAAAACCACCTGGTAAGGATGATAGGAGGAATATCATGAGAAATGGATGGATTCCAATGGATAAATAAATGAGAGTGAGAGCCACAGAACAATATTGTGCACAACACGTAAAACCACAAAACACAGACTGGACACAGGAAATGATTCAGTTCAGAGCGGGAGTAAATATGGGATATGGAAGGAAGGGAAATAACTGGAGAGGAAAACACGTGGCAAAAATGAAAGGGAGATGACAGGGCTACCCTATAGCCCAAAATGGTTGAAAAGGACATGCCCTTGTCAAACAACCATGTAAAAACAGATCTCTGAGGGAGGGAAAGAATGGAATGTTCTCCACTTACATTGATACACAGACATCGATGAGAAATGGACAGTGTGAGACAACAGGGATGCTACATGTGTGGATAGCCCACCAAACCCCTCACAAGGGACTGAACAAAACCTATGCATGAAGCCAGTGTGTGAGAACAGATGAAGCACCCTGAGTGAGTTTGCCAAAGGAAGTACCAGAAGAGAGGAAGAGGTAATGGAGGATGTTCCTGAAGATGGGATGGAAACCATAGTAGAGCCAGCCAGAAAGGAGCCACAAAAGGACTCTACATGGAGTAGATTGGATGAGAGAAATTAGTTAGGGTAGAAGAAAGATGCTAGAGCATGCATAAAAGAAAGGTCCTTCTAATCTTGGCTGAACACATTGACAACTAAAGGATGTGGAACTGGGATCCAAACGAGAGGAAGCGTGACATTTAAATGAGAGGCAAATGCACCCAATTGGGGAGTATCCAGCTAAGAACATAGCATTGAAATACCTGGGAGTCAAGAAACCACTCCATGGGTAAAATCTTGTCAGTACAGGACAGAAGATCCACAACAAGTTTAATTGATATTTATAATTTATACTTCTTATCATTAATTTCATTTGTGAGGGCTCCTGGGGGCCAGGGTCCACCCTACCTGCTCTCAGTATTGCTTGCCTTCCTCCTGTAATGGCTGAACCCATTTTCAGATGACCTAGATTTTGTCAGTTTTCTTCCACCTTCTTATGGATTGTCTTCCAGGCCTCTACTGTAGAATCTGCTAGGCTTATCTCAGTTATTTTTTAGACACGTTTCACAGTATATTCCCATTCTCGTGACATTGTTTCATGATGATCTTTTTGTCTCTCTTTTGAGAGTTGGTATTTGCAAGCCTCACCCTATACAGGCTTTAATTCTTTTTGCCTTAGCTTACCATCAGGCAGATTTTCTTCTTGATGTTTGTTATTTGCATCCTATTTTAATTCTATCTATTTTATCCCTACCTAGTTTTTTTTAGCTTTGTTTTACCCTATTGACACTCCATCTCCTTTCTTTGGTGTTCCACTTATATTTAGGAATTTTTGTGGATACCTCCTCCTTTTTCCCTTCATATTGAGGTGTTTGTGATCTTTAGTTTATTCCCTCCACACGTGGCTTCTTTGCTTGTAGGATCTTTTAGGGTGGGACACTGCTGTTTACCATCTATTGCTAATAGGGTCTGACAGTCAGTTCTTTTTCTCCACCGGTCCATTTTCTTGGGCTACTCCTGTACATTTAGCATCACATGGGGTATTTGCAATGCTATATTGAATTTTTTTAGTTGCTGTTTTGTTTCATTATGAGATGTTATTACCTTTATTCATTTTATATGTTCGGCACCTGCCTGTCCTTTACCTGTCTTACCTACAGGTTTTCTTCATTCGTTCTTTTTGTTTGATGCTGATTGGAGTTTTGGATTAATCTGTCCCACCTCATTCACTTCTTCGATTTTCCCTGTTTTAATATGTCATCTTTTATCACATTTGGTTTGGCTGATTCTGCAGGACTGAGAATGCCCACAGTACATGATCTTATCTTCAATTTTTTCACCATGTGTTTAGGTACCAGTTTCTTGGTTTAAATCCCCATCAAACTAAACATGCTTGCCCTTTCAGCTATGGGGCATTATAATGTGATGGTCAATCCTACTATTCATTGGTAAAGAGTTGGCAGTGGGTGGTGATGACTAACTGTCTTCCCGTTAGTCTTTCACTACTAAAGTAGGGATGGTTAGTGCAGATAGACCTCATGTAGTTTTGTGTGAAATTTAAAAGAAACCAAACTTTTTTAATCCCAGATGTCAGGTTCCAGATCAACCAATCAATTTCTCACATTATCATGTGACCCGTTCATGGGTTGGGGGTACAAGATTCCCTCTGGTCTCATGAACTTAGGTGAAGATGGTATGATCCTCTTTCCTACCCCCACCAGATGGCTGGGTTTTGGATTATAGTTGATTGCCACCTGTATGATTTTCTTTCCTTTCCCTGCATGAATGTCGGTACCTAGTGGCCAGGTTTTGTATTGTAGTTGACTTGCCATGTGCAGTCCATTGCACCCTAGCCAATATACACCTAGGGGCATATCCTTTTAAACTTGCCAACTTTTATGTTTGTTTGATTGAGTTTCATAAATATCATATGGTTTGGATCCTTATCTCGCCATAGTTCTTTCCTGCTTGGATGTGCTCCTTTGTTTTTCTGCCCATATGTGTGACATCTTTCCATGATGGGCAAAGAGTATACCTAGTTCATAAGTGGTGTGGTCTCCCAGGTCAGATTTTCAATTCCATAGATCTCCTCTTGGGGAGTGTCCTTCAAATGCTTTCAAAAGATGCTTCTTTATTTTCCTCTCACAGGTCCCTCCACCTATTCAATGTGGGATTATAGCTATTTATGTGACTGGAGGTAGTGTACCGTATTGGAAGTTATAATTTTCCTATACTGAAAATGTATTTCTGATAGGAACTTACCTTCACTCACCATCCCACCCTTCCTCCCCACTGAAAACTGGTGTTTGAAGTGATAATTTGATAGAATTGAATAGAGGAAGTCACATGCATCAAGAGAGTATGTTGCACTCTTTTTGGTGAAGGGTTGTTGCATGATGATTTGCATGTGAGATGCATGGCAATCAGACAATTCCAAATGAGTAGGAAATTCTAGGCTTGTGGCATGCACAACAAATATTTTTGCATTTGAAGGGCAGCATTGAATGAGAATAGCTATTTATGTGAGAGGAGGTAAGTACCTATCAGAAATGTGTTTTCAGTATAGGCATTTTTTTAATATTTTGTTTCCCAATCAAGTAATTAAAACATATACTAAAATTTGAATTATAGACTACTGTGAGGCCAATTTTATTGACATTCAATGAGAATAAAGTTATTTAATTAAATTTGGAGAATAACTTGAAACATTGTGACATGATTCCGTTCACCTGTCTGTTGAGAGAGGATTAACTATAAGATTAAGGAGATAATTATTTCATTGTTTAAGTCACTAGTTAGGACTCATTTTGAGTATTACATACAGATATGATTCCCTTATCTCAGGAAAGACATTGACTATTGGTAAAGAATATTTAGTAAAAGGCTATTAGGATGGATGAGTTGTCATATGAGGATAAGTTAAGATCTATTAACTTGTTTAAAGTATTAAACATTCTTAAGGAAAATAATGAAATTGAGGCATTTTTATGTTGAATATTAAGTGCAGAAGGACAAGAGATTATATAAATGTAAGATTTGAAAAGATTAAATTACTTTTCCAGTTGTGATTGAAAGAGCCATCAACTTTACAGGAGGTTAAAAAAAAGTGGTTGATGAATATCAACATAACAGTACACTACAGGCAACAAGAAAGTGGGTTCACTTTTTATTTTTTCAAGAAATGTTCTATTCCCATCTTAAATATTTGTAAGGTGTTGGACTACACTAATGCCAATGACAATTCATTGTTTAAGCAAGTTGCTCTGTTAAGAAGATAAAATTGTTCTTACCTGAAACCTGGTATGCCTTTTCAAAATGTTAAACTTGTATCTTCTCATCCTTTTGTCTTTAGATAAAGCACAAGAAATCAGATGCCTTCTTCCTATCTGAATAAACTTATATATATCAATAAAATCACCTCTTTGAGGCTCTTACCAAGTCAGTAAATCAGACCATGCCCCCCCCCCCCAAAAAAAAATTAAAAAAATTCATATTTACTGACAAGTTTTACCTAGTTCAGAGGCATCTTCAGGATGCTGAAGGGAAAAAGAGTCATGACATTTACCAAAATGTGTTATACATCTACTGCAGAAAATGCTAAATCATGTAAGTGTTTAATATAAATGTAAACATTTTTCATACTATTATTTGAAAATACAGAGAATAGTGTTTTTGATTTTAAATATTTCTGAGGAAGTGTGCCCCTGCATCTTCTTAGGGGTATTGTGCCTGCTTTAGTAGTATCACCCACTTACTCTTAAACATACTGAAAACCCTGCCAGTTGCTCTTATTTTCTGAAGAGAAGAGACCTTAACATAACCCTTCCATCCCTGGAGTAATTTTAGTAGCTCTACTCTGAACACTTTCCAGCAGATCAATGTCCTTACTTAGATAAAGCTGTCACAGTATTTCAAGTGAAGACTAATGAGGATCAACTAGTGATTTGTATGGAAAAATAATTATCTCTTTTTATTTGAAATCAATTTGAGTTGCATTCCCCTGAATGGTCTTTTATAAGTCACAATTGTATAAGGAGACCAAAGCTGTAAATGTTTTTAAGTATTTGGTGGATCAGAGCAAGATTTATTGATTAATTTCTGTTGAGGGAGTTTGGTCTCAGAGGCACTTGACATCTTGTAACTTAATGTAATGGAAAAAAAATTAATTTGTTGTTTTTTAAATCCTTAATAGAATTTGAATTAAGAACTTTTTCTTTAGTAATTTTTGTTATGTAGGCCATTAAGATTTCCTATACTAAATCTTTACCCATGAAAAGGATTTTAAGATTATAAAATTGATTTTTTTTATATCTTGAATAAAAATGTATGATTTTATAGGAAATTGTGGAGACTTGCCAACATTTTGATTAAGAATGTATCTGAATTGTATCTAAGATAATTAACAACCTTAATACAACAGTATCCAATCCCAGATAATGAGTAGTAAAAATTATTTTAACAAAAAGATTAATTATGGTACAGTGAAAAACAAGCTACATATTATGTATTGTATGCATTTTCACCTGACTTAATCTTCACTTGTCTTATGTTAACAGTAAATGAAGCAAGTAAATATAGAAAACGTAATTTTTACAGTATCCAATCAAGAGCAGTTTTCCTGATGTAGCCACTGGTGGTATTTTATCAAAAGTAAGAAGAAAATTAGGCTTACTAGAAGTTTCCAAAATGGTAAGTGTATCAGAGGAATAAAAAAAAAACACTTCAAAGTAAAACATTTAGGCTATTGTTTGTGATCTGTATACATATTCCAATTTCACTTAAATTATACTCTATAAAGTCTGTATATTGGCTTGGTCATTTTGACCAATCCTGTAACCTCCATGAAACTACATAAACTACTGTAATATTCTAAATGTACTAAGTGTATCATCATGAATTTTGGCAAATGTTTAAGTAAATATTGCAAGCCTTTTGTAGACAAAAATTATATTTTCAATAAAGTGTTTTTACTAAACATTTGTCTGCAAATTTATGAAGTCTATTGAGTAAGTCTTAGTGAAGGATGACTTTCATGCTAAGAATAAATATACTTATTTTCATCATACAGTTTTTATATTTAATTTACATAAGCTGTAATACCTACTAAATGAATTTCAAAAGTTTTTAATAGAACTTTATACTTTCTCTTTCATCTTCTCTACCCTTACACCAACTGTAGTGTAAACAATGAAAGAAAATGTTGAAAAATATGAAATAAAATGATGACTGCAGATTCTAAAATACAATTACAATTTTAATTTCAACACAGCCTCAGTTTTATAAACAAATCACATCTGGTTGCTTTTGATTTTATTACTTTACAATGGTTTTCAGACCCTATCTAATGATGTGACTGTCAATTAAACACAGTGATGTAACTTTTGTAATTTACCAATTTACCAACCAATTTACAATCGCATGAAGCAGTTAACTAGAGCTGGTCTCATAGATTATTTTTTTATTTTGTTTTAAATTTGTTTTGTTAGTTCACATATGTGTCTAATGTTTACACCCACACCCACACGCAAATATATATAATGTATATTCATATATATATCAATTCCACTCATTTTATTTTATGCTATCATTAAGGGCTTGTCACCTTATGAAGATATTCTATTAATGGCTGGAGACGGCTTGAATGGGTAATGAAGAAAAACTTTAATATAAGTTTAACATAACAGCAAATGT